TACTAGGGAATTCCCCTACCAGCTTAGGAAAATAACCTGAGACAGACTCTGATGTATGGCTCTGGGGCAGATGAACACACCCACCATCTTCCCTGAAGCCAGAAAAGTACCTCCATTTCATGGGGGATCCAGGAGTTCCATCTTCCCGACTCTGTCAGAAAACTCTTTCAGAAACAGTCGTTTCACTGACTAAGATTGACAGCCAGCTGACAGGCAGAGACAGTTGGAGGCAGATGTTGCAGTGCCTTAGGATGTATGCTGGCCCACTCCTGGGCCCTGTGCTGGTAAAAGCCAGCCTTGGAGTACAGCCAAGCCTGGCAGAGGCAGCCACAAACTGTGGATCACTGGTAGCTTTGAATAGACAGTGGAGGGCCAGATGTGGACAGCACCTGACATTGGGTTACACCAGCTTCAGACAACATTGAAGCAATATTCAAAGGGAGATCCAAGTAAACAGGCACTAAATTCTGTTGAGATGAGCTCCAGTTGGTTCTTTTCCATAACTTTTTATTTTTTTCCATTTTTTCTTTCATATCTCTTATTTTACTTTTTTCTTTATTTTTTCTTCTTCCTTCTTCTTATTTTTCTCTTATTTTTTCTGTTTTTCTCTTTTTTTCTTATTCTTACTGTTTCTCTTCCTTCCTTCCTGTCATAGGCTTTTTTCTGTCCTTTTGTCTTCTTGTATTCTTTTTTTTACTATTCTTTTCCTCTTTCCTTATTCTTTGCTCTTTTGTTGTTGTTTTTGCTGTTGTTGGGGTTTTTTGTTTTGTTTGCTTTTTGTGTTGTTTTGTTTTGTTCTGTCAGTACCTGTACAATAGCTTTCAAGACATGGTTGGAGTGGAACCTCTCAGTCAACTGGCTAGAGGGGAGATCTCACCTATGAATGGGCCAACAGCAATCAAGACCCAACACACGAGGGAAATTTCTAGAGCACCCAGCTCAGGAAATCAAGGAGGCTGTACCACTGGGTCTCACAGGATTCCTATCACATAAGGCCAATCCATAGCTACCTAATACATAAAAACAAACACAAAGAGACAACTAAAATGTGGAGACAAAGAAATAACTCCGAAATGAAAGAAAAAAAAAGAAATCCAGAAAAAGAGCTAAATGAAATTGAGTCAAGTAATTTATCAGGCATAGAGTTTAAAGTAATGGTTATAAGGATGCTTAAGGAACTTAATGAGAACTACAAGGAACTTTATGGGAACTCAAAGAACTTAGTGGGAACTCCATTAACAAAAAAGACATAGAAACTATGAATGAAAGCCAGTTGAAAATGAAGAATGCAATATCTGAAATAAAGCATACACTAGAAGGAATTAAATGTAAGCTAGAGGAAACAGAGGATCAAATTAATAATTTGGAAAACAAGGTAGAAAAAGAACATCCAATTCAAAGCCACAAAAAGAAAAAAATTAAAAGGTCAAGGATATTCATGAAATGTAATAATATCCACATTATAGGGGTTCCAGAAGGAGAAGGAAGTGAGCAAGGGACAGAAAGTCTGTTTGAAGAAATAATGTCAGAAAACTTCCCTAACCTGGTGAAGAAAAAAGTCACACCAGTGTAGGAAGCACAGAGACTTCAATCAAGATGAACCCAAAGAGAATGACACCAAGACAGATCATAATTAAAATAACAAAGTTTAAAGACAAAGAGAGAATCTTAATGGCAGCAAGAAATAAACAGTTAGTTACCTACAAGGGAGCTCCCATAAAGCTGTCAGTTGATTTCTCAAATGAAACACTTCATGCCTTCAGAGATTTACATGAAATGTTCAGAGTAATGAAAATCAAGCTCTTGCAACCGAGACTACTCTATTCAGCATGAGTATCATTTAAAATTGAAGGTGAAATACAGAGCTTCACAGACCAAAAAAAAACAAAATCAAAAACAAAAACAAAAAAACCCAGAAAGAAACACACCAAAACACACATGTGCTCGTGCGCACGCACGTGCGCGCGCGCACACACACACACACACTCCTAAACTAAAGTAGTTCATTACCACCGAATTGGCATTGCAAGAAATTTTAAAAGGGCTGTAGTAAGAACAAAGAGAGAGAGATTAGAACATAGGCAAAAAAAAATGGCAATAAATATCTATCAATGATAACCTTAAAAGTAAATGGACTAAATGCTATAATCAAAAGACATAGGGTAGCTGAATGGATAAGAACACATGACCCTTACATATGCTGTCTACAAGAGACCTACTTTGGAACAAAAAAATTTTTTAATTTTTTTTGTTCCCTTTATTTTCTTTATTTTTTCAAATACGTTTGTCTCTGCCTTCCCTCCACCACCATCCCCTGCCCCCTCCCCCTTCCTCCCTCAATTCTTCCTCATTGATTTTGTCCATGAGACCTTGCTTCACATTCCCTGACCCTCCCATTCCCTTCCTTTTCCCCCATCCCCAGCTCCCTCCATCCTTCTTGTCTCTGTTCATTTGTTTTCCTTTCAGTGTTGCTGGTCTTATTTTCCTTGCATCTTTGTATTGTTGGTTAGGTTCTGCTTGTAGGTGAGATCATATGGTATTTGTCTTTTGCCCCTTGGCTTATTTTGCTTAGCATAATGCTCTCTAGTTCCATCCATGCTGTCGTGAAGTTTAGTAGTTCTTTTTTTCTTTCTGCTGCGTAGTATTCCATTGTGTAAATGTACCATTGTTTTTTGATCCAATCATCTACTGATGGGCATTTAGGTTGCTTCCAACACTGGGCTATTGTCAATTGTGCTGCTATGAACATTGGGGTGCATAGGTTCTTTTGTATTGGCGTTTTGGTGTTCTCAGGGTATAGTCCCAGCAGGGGAATCACTGGATCAAAAGGCAGTTCCATTTTCAGCTTTTTGAGGAAATTTCACACTGCTTTTCACAATGGCTGCACCAGTCTGCATTCCCACCAACAGTGGACTAGGGTTCCCTTTTCTCCACAGCCTCGCCAGCACCTGTTGTTTGTTGATCTGTTTCTGACGGCCATTCTGACCAGTGTGAGGTGGTACCTCATGGTGGTTTTGGTCTGCATTTCTCTGATGGCTAGTGATGCTGAGCATCCTTTCAAATGTCTCTGGGCTCTCTGTATCTCTTCCTTGGAAAAGCGTCTGCCCAGGTCTTTTGCCCATTTTCGGAACAAAACATTTATAGAAGCTGAAAGTGAAAGGATGGAAAAAAGATTCTCTATAAATGGAGATGAAAATAATAGCAGGAGTAGCAATACCCATATCTGGCAAAATAAACTTCAAAACAAAGACCATAACAGGAAACAATGAAGGTCACTGCCTAATACCAAAGGCACTGATTGAACAAGAGGATGTAACTTTTGTAAACATATATGCACACAATACAGGAGCACCTAAATATATAAATAAAATCTTGATAGACTTTAAGAAAAAGATTGAAAGCAATACAGCAATACTGGGGGATTTTAACACCATATTGTCACAAATGGATAGCTCTTCCAGACAAAAAATCAACAAGGAAACAGCCTTAAATGACATACTAGAATGAATGGATTTAATTAACATTTACAGAACATTTCATCCCAAAGCAGCAAATATACATCCTCCTCAAGTGCACAAGGATAGTTCTCAAAGATAGACCACATGTTAGGTCTTAAGTCTTAAAAAAATTCAAGAAGACTGAAACCATATCAAGCATATTCTCAGATCACAATGGCATGAAACTAGAAATCAACCTCAATAAAAAACCTAAAGAACATTCAAATATATGGAGGCTAAGTAGCATTAAATAGTTATTGAATAATGAATGGGTTATCAATAAGATCAAGGGAGAAATAATTGGAAACAAATGAAAATGAACAAGCACGCCCTGGCTGGTATAGCTCAGTGAATTGAGTGCTGGTCTGCGAACAAAAAGGTTGCCAATTTGATTCCCAGTGTAGGGCACATGCCTAGGTTGCAGGCCAGGTCCCCAGTAGGAGGTGCGTAAGATGCAATCACACATTGATGTTTCTCTCTCTCTCTTCCTCCTTCCTTTCCTTTCCCTAAAAATAAATAAATAAGTAAATTCAAAAAAGAAAAGAAAATGAACAAGCAACAACCCAAAATCTATGGCCACAGTGCAAACAGTTCCAAGGGGGAAATGCATAGCATTACATGCCTACCTCAAAAAGCAAAAAAATCTCAAATAAACAATCTTATCCTATACCTAAAAGAACTGAAAAAACAACAACAAACTAAGCCTAGAGTGAGTAGAAGGAAGGAAATAATCAAGGTCAGAGTGGAAGCAAATGACACAGAAACTAAAAAATCAGTTCAAAAGGTCTTTGAATTCAGGAACTGGTTCTTTGAAAAGACAAACAAAATTGATGAACCTTTAACCAGACTTGTCAAAAAAGACAGGACTCAAATAAAATTGTAAATGAAAGAGGAGATATAACAACTGATATCACAGAAATATAAAAGATTGTAAGAAAATACTATGAACAACTACAAGGCCAAGAAATTGGATAATCTCAAATAAATGGATAAATTTCTGGAAACGTACAGCCTTCCAAAACTGAATCAGGAAGAATCAGAGAATCTGAATAGATCAATTACAACTAATGATATTGAAGCAATAATCAAAACCTCCCATCAAACAAATTCCCTGGACTGGATGGCTTCACGGATGAATTTTACCAATCATTCAAAGAAGAACGAACTCCTATCCTTCTCAAACTTTGCAAAAATTCAAGAGGAAGGAAGACTTCCAACCTCTTTTTGTGAGGCCAGTGTTATACTAATTCCAAAACCAGATGAAGACATAACAAAGAAAGGAACATGTATAAAGGACTTATGGACAAAGCCAAAGGTGGGTAGGATTGAGAGTGGGGGGGGGGTAGGGGTGGGTGGGGTGGGGGAGAGTGGTGCATGAAAATGGAGACAACTGTACTTGAACAACAATAAAAAATAAATAAAACCAGAAAAAAGGAAAATTATAGGCCAATATCCCTGAAGAACACATATGCCACAATCTTGAACAAAATATTAGCCAACCAGGTGCTTGCTTCAGCAGCACATATACTAAAATTGGAACAATACAGAAAAGATTTGCATGGCCCCTGCACAAACATGACATGCAAATTCGTGACGGGTTCCATATTTTTATACCAATGATGTATTTCACATAGAATAAACATTTCAAAAATTTATATGGAACCATAAATGACCCTGAATAGCCACAGCAATTCTGAGAAAGAAAAACAAAGTAAGTGGGATCACAATACCGGACATAAAACTATGTTACAAGGCACTGTAATCAAAACAGTCTGGTACTGGCACAAGAACAGACACATAGATCAATGGAACAGAATAGAGAGCCCAGAAATAAACCCATGTCTCTATGGTCAATTAATATTTGACAAAGGGGGCAGAAGCATAAAGTAGAGTAAAAATAGCCTCTCCAACAAATGGTGTTGGGAGAGCTGGACGGCTACATGCAAAAAATTGAAATTTGACCACTAACTGACACCATACACAAAAATAAACTCAAGATGAATAAAAGATTTAAATATAAGTCATGACACCATAAAAGTTCTAGAGGAGAATATAGGCAAGAAACACTCAGATATCCCATGCAGCAATATTTTCACCGATATGTCCCCTACAGCAAGGGATATAAAAGAAAGAATAAACAATTGGGACTTCATCGAAATAAGAAGCTTTTGCACAGCTAAAGAAAACATCAGCAAAATGAAAAGGGACCCAACTATATGGGAAAATATATTTGCCAATGATACCTCAAAGAGGGGTTTGCTCTCCAAAATATATAAAGAACTCACATGTCTCCACCACAGGAAGACAAACAATCCAATTAAAAAATGGGCAAAGGAGCTGAACAGACAATTCTCCAAGGAAGAGATACAGAGGGCCCAGAGACAAATGAAAGAATGTTCATCATCACTAGCCATCAGAGAAATGCAAATTAAAACCACAATGAGATACCACTTCACACCGGTCATAATGGTCATCATAAATAAATCAACAAACAACGGGTGCTGGCGAGGTTGTGGAGAAAAGGGAACCCTAGTACACTGTTGGTGGGAATGCAGACTGGTGCAGCCACTGTGGGAAACAGCGTGGAATTTCCTCAAAAAGCTGAAAATGGAACTGATTTTTGATCCAGTGATTCCCCTGCTGGGACTATACCCTAAGAACACCAAAACGCCAATAGAAAAGAACCTATGCACCCCAATGTTCATAGCAACACAATTTACAATAGCCAAGTGCTGGAAGCAACCTAAGTGCCCATCAGTAAATGAGTGGATCAAAAAACTGTGGTACACTTACACAATGGAATACTACACAGCAGAAAGAAAGAAAGAGCCTCTACCTTTTGCGACAGCATGGATGGAACTAGAGAGCATTATTCTAAGTGAAATAAGCCCGGCAGTGAAAGACAAATACCATATGATCTTACCTATAAGTGGAACCTAGCCAGCAAAGCAAGCAGGCAAGGAAAATATGATTAGCAACATTGAAAGAGAGAAGAAACCAACAGGATTGAGAGGGAGGGATGGAAGAAGGGAGGGAGGGAGGAAGGGGGATAGTGGAGAGGGGAAGGATCAGATCAAAGAACAAGTGTTAAGGACACATGGTCAAAGTCAAGAAGAGGAAAGATTGAGGTGGAGCTGGGGAGAGTGGTGGCAGGTAAATGGAGACAATTGTATTGGAACAATAAAAAAATTTTTAAAAAAGAATATTAGCCAACTAGATCCAGCAATACATTAAAAAGATAATATACCATGATCAAGTGGGACTTATCCAGGGATGCAAAATTTGTGTAATATTCACCAATGGTAAATGTGATATATCAGATAAACAAAAATGAAAGACCAATGTCACATGATCATATCAACAGTTGCTGAAAAAGCTTTCAATAAAGCACAGCACTCATTTATGGTAAAAACTCTGACCAGAGGGAGTATACCTTAACATAGTAAAGGCTATATACAAAAAACCTACATCAATGAGCAAAAACTAAAAGCATTTCCTTTAAGATCAGGAACAAGACCCAGATGTCTGCTGTCACCTTTTATTCAGTAAAGTAATGGAAAACCTACGCACTGTGATCAGACAAGAAGAAGAAATAAAAGGCATCAAAATTGGAGAAGAAGAAGTAAAATTGTCCTTATTTGCAGACAACACGGTATTGACAGAAAATCCTAAAGACTCCACCAAATATCTACTATGTAATAAATAAATCCAGCAAATTAGCAGGATATAAAATGAGTACTTAGAACAGACATTTCAAAAATTTATATGGAACCATAAACGACCCTGAATAGCCGCAGCAATTTTGAGAAAGAAACACAAAGTAGGAGGGATCACAATACCGGACATCAAACTCTACTACAAAGCCACTATACTCAAAACAATCTGGTACTGGCACAAGAACAGACCCATAGACCAGTGGAACAGAATAGAAAGCCCAGAAATAAGCCCAGGTCTCTATGGGCATCTAATATTTGACAAAGGGGGCAGAAGCATAAAATGGAGCCATAATAGCCTCTTCAACAAATGGTGTTGGGAGAGCTGGACGGCTACATGCAAAAAATTGAAATTGGATCATCAGCTGACACCATACACAGAAATGAACTCAAGATGGATAAAAGACTTAAATAGAAGTCGCAACACCATAAAAGTCCTAGAGGAGAACATTGGCAGGAAACTCTCAGATATCCCATGCAGCAATTTTTTCACTGATATGTCTCCTAAAGCAAGGGACATAAAGGAAAGAATGAACAAGTGGGACCTCATCAAAATAAGAAGCTTCTGCACGGCGAAAGAAAACATCAGCAAAATGAAAAGGGAACCAACCGTATGGGAAAATATATTCGCTAATGATACATCAGACAGAGGTTTGATCTCCAAGATATATAAAGAACTCACTCGACTCCACTCCAAGAAGACAAACGATCCAATTAAAAAATGGGCAAAGGACCTGGGCAGATGCTTTTCTAAGGAGGAGATACAGAGGGCCCAGAGGCATTTGAAAGGATGCTCAGCATCACTAGCCATCAGAGAAATGCAGACCAAAACCACCATGAGGTACCACCTCACACTGGTCAGAATGGCCATCAGAAACAGATCAACAAACAACAGGTGCTGGTGAGGCTGTGGAGAAAAGGGAACCCTAGTCCACTGTTGGTGGGAATGCAGACTGGTGCAGCCACTATGGAAAGCAGTGTGGAATTTCCTCAAAAAGCTGAAAATGGAACTGCCTTTTGATCCAGGGATTCCCCTGCTGGGACTATACCCTAAGAACACCAAAACGCCAATACAAAAGAACCTATGCACCCCAATGTTCATAGCAGCACAATTGACAATAGCCAAGTGTTGGAAGCAACCTAAATGCCCATCAGTAGATGATTGGATCAAAAAACAATGGTACATTTACACAATGGAATACTACGCAGCAGAAAGAAAAAAAGAACTACTACACTTCGTGACAGCATGGATGGAACTGGAGAGCATCTTGCTAAGTGAAATAAGCCAGGGGGCGAAAGACAAATACCATATGATCTCACCTATAAGCGGAACCTAACCAACAATGCAAAGATGCAAGGAAAATATGACCAGCAACACTGAAAGGAAAAGAAATCAACAGAGACAAGAGGGAAGGTGGGGGGCAGGGAAAGGGAAGGGACGGGGGGAAATTCAAGGAACATATACAAGGACTCATGGACAAAACCAAAGGGGAAGAGCTGAGGGGGCAAGGGAAAGCGGTGGCGGGGAGGCAGAGACAAATGTATTTAGAAAGTAAATAAATTTAAAAAAAGTATCAAAAATAACAGTAAAAAAAAAAAGAAATCAATTGTATTTTTATACACCAAAAACAAACAACCAGAAATAGAAACTAAGAAAACCATCATATTTATTATTGCAACAACAACAAAAAATAATGTACCTAGTAATAAATTAAACCAAGGAGGTAAAAGATCTGTTCAGAAAACTATAGAACATTAAAAAAAAGAAATTGAGGAAGATTTGAGTGGAAGCATATACTGTGTTCATGGATTGGAAGAATTAACATTAAAATGTCCATACTACCAACAGCAATCTATAGATTCAATGCAGTTTTTATTAAAACACCAATGGCATACTATACAGTCTAGTAAAAATATTCAAAAAATTATATGAAGTAAAAATACCCCAAATAGCCTCAGCAACCTTGAGAAAGGAGAACAAATTTTGAGGTATCACAATACCTGATATCATACTATAGTATAAGGCCACTGTTATCAAAGCAGCCTGGTACTAGCATAAGAACAGGCATATGGATTAATGAAACAGAACAAAGGGCCCAGAAATAAACTCATGCCATGATGGTCAATTAATATTTGACAAAGGAGGGAAAAGCATACAATGGAGTAAAGGCAGTCTGTTCAATAAATGGTGTTGGTAAAACTGGACAGGTACATGCATTAAAATGAAACTAGATCACCAACTTCTGGTGTATGGTTACTTTAGAATGAACTCAGAATGGGTAAAGCCTTATGCAAATTAAAATTCCATAAAAATCTAAGAAGAAAACCTGGGCAATAAAATTTCAGATATATCACATTGAAATATTTCTGCTGTCGTGAATTTTAGTAGTTCTTTTCTTCCTTCTTCTGCATAGTATTCCGTCGTGTAAATGTACCATAGGTTATTTTTCTGTATTTTTAAAATTAATTAATTTATTTTTTCTTTTTTTATTAATTTATTTACTTTTTAAATACATTTGTCTCTGCCTTCCCCCCACCTCTTTCCCTTGCCCCCTCCCACCTTCCCTCCCTCAGCAAATACATTTTTCTCTGCTTACCCCCTACCACTTTCCCTTGCCTCCTCCCTCCCTGCCTCCCTCAACTCTTCCCCTTTGGTTTTGTCCATGAGTCCTTGCTATATGTTCCTTGACTTGCCCCTTCCATTCCTTTTCCCCGCGCCCCCTCCCTCTTTCCCTCTTGTCTCTGTTGGTTTCTTTTCCTTTCAGTGTTGCTGTCTTATTTTCCTTGCATCTTTGTAATGTTGGTTAGGTTCCGCTCACAGGTGAGATCATATGGTATTTGTCCTTCGCCCCCTGGCTTATCTCACCTAGCATAATGCTCTCTAGTTCCATCCATGC